AGGCTGCGCATCGAAGTCCCCTTGTGGAGAGACCTGACAACTGCCAAACACCCCACTGCTGACTTGCCTGCAGAAGAAGACTCTGCCTCTGATGCTACCGGGTCAGCTGAACGGTCGCCTAGGCTTGCTCTCCCTGTGCCAGTGGGGCTTGCTGAACCACCAGAAGTTGGCACTGAAGAAGCCACGGGGGACGAGGACACGGCGGCTGAACCCAACTATGCCTTTGCCAAGGGATATGGACGGTTCGGCATAGGTTATACTCGATTAGCAACGGCGCTCGGCAATTTCGAGCAAGGGAACATCGAAGCAGAAAGTGCTGTAGTAGCTCAGTGGCTGACCTCCGGGCTACGGGTTGCCATGTCCCGCACAGGGTGGCATCTGCTGTCTCCCCGCTTTATGCTGACCAAAGTCCCTGGTGGTGTCCTCAGTGACTACTACAGCCATGGATATCCCTTCGCTCCGAGGATGGCAGATCGCCCATACAGCTCATATCTCTATACCGAAGAACGATGGGATCAGCTCTGTGCATGGCTCACTGGGAACCCCAACTTTAGACTTCAACTCGCGGACCACAAGCAGGCGCTTCGGGACCACATGGGCTACAGTCAAGAAGCCTCCGGCCCAAGTAATAAAGCTCGCCGGACTGTCCCCCCGCCAGGAGCGGGAAGCTCCTCGTCGGCAGCAGGGTCTTCCTGGCACAGTAGGCCCCCCCCATCGCCCTCGCCCTATGGGTGGTCCTATGGGTGGTGGCAGTAAGGTAGTCGACAGTAGGGGTCCTCCCACACAGCAACCGTCTCCGCGTCGCTCGATCCTCTCCAAGAGGTGGGTGGCCTTAGCCACCCTCCTTCTTGTGGCCTATTTGTCATCATAGTGTTCGCAATGGCTATATTTTCGGTGTCTCAGTAGTTTGGCTCAAGCAAACTGAGCAAACACGCTCGAACTACCGCCTACGCGACAATGCCGACTCACCAAGACCGTTATGAGATCAGCCTCGAGTTGGTTACCATAGCAGGTACGGTATATGCAATGCAAGCAGACCTCTCCCATTATGAGGATGTGGCAGAGCTTGAAGACGACATTCTTTGCTTTCTGCCGACAGTCTCTGATTTAGATGTCTTCGGCTGTGAACTGGAGTTGCTCAGCCTTCACACGCAGCAACCCCTGCCAGAGGCATTTCGCACTGTGCTCCTGCAACGACCGCAACTCCAAATTGTAGTTCGTCCCTGCATGGTAGATGGACATTCCATCTGGCAGTTCCAGGACGACGGCAAGGAAAGCTACCCCAAAGCTGTTCGTGTCCCGGCCAACCCGCGACGGGAAATTGCTGACAGAGCTTTTTATGCTGCACCCTCGCTCCGGCACGTAGAAGTGGCAACTGGCATTCAACATGTAGGAACTGCGGCCTGGCAGACTTGTCAGCAACTACAAATTGTCAAGCTTCCACCCTCGGTCATAAGTCTGGCGGAAGGGACTTTCCAAGGGTGCTATGTGCTGCGAGAGGTGGCCGCTCCGGGGTGTGTCCAATACGGTCCAAGGGTGTTTGCGGAGTGCTGCTCCCTAGGTCGAGTTGGGGCCAGTCATGAAACAGAGGACAGCAACGTCCTGGCACCAGGAGCACAGCTAGGCAAATATGCTTTCGAGAGTTGCCTCACGCTTACAACCATCACCTTTGACATGGACCATACTAACAAACCTCGAGCGCTGCCTGAAGGGGCATTCTGCGGCGCAGGCATTGAACAGCTCTGCTTACCGAGTGACTTCCACAATATCGGGCCGCGGGCCTGTGAGAATTGCAAAAGCCTTGTGGAGGTCAACCTCATGGGCACAGAGATCACAGCCCTACTCTCTTCCACATTTGCCCACTGTGTAGCCTTAAACTGTATATGGCTCCCGCCGCGACTCACACAAATTGGCAAAGAAGTTTTCCTTAATTGTGTGGTACTGCAAGAAGTTGTCATCCCGACGGAGCTCAGTGACATAGGCAACCGTGCATTCTGTGGGTGTGAGCAACTGCAACGATTTACCCCCCTGGATTGGGGTGACAATGAACAGTGGGTGCAGGCAGAGCACAATGCCTTCTTTATGTGTGACAAATTTGAAAAACCCCAGAGGGTGGAGCTGCTCCCCGCGGAAGGACCCGATTCGGATGCTTTTGACGAGGAACTCTACCACGAATACTCCAAATATCATGCCAGTCCATGAGAGACTCTAGGTGGGTGCCTTAGCATCTGTCTTCAGGAAACATCCCTGGCCTTGGGAACAGCCCACAAGCAGACCCAGACACTTTTGGCTCAAACAATCATTGCAAATAGCCTGCCGCACATGGAGCTTGACGATTCATCCATGATTAGCACTCCCCCTGAAAAGGAGCCGGTCATGGAATGCTCCCTGATGCTGACCACGCTTTCGGGAGTGACTTTTCAGGTCTCTCTCAGTGTTGCAAAGTTTGACCGCTTTGAGGATCTAGAGGACCAGGTCATGGACTATCTCGTTTCTGTTACTGATCTCAAAGTATTTGGGTGCTCCATTGACTTTTTACAAACTGCCACACAGACTTACCTAGAGGACCCAATCTGGGACAAGCTACAGCAAGGCATGGCGTACACTATTGTCTTTCGGAACTGCAGTGTTATCCTGCCATCTCAAGAACAACTTGAGGATTGCCCTATCCATCACATTCCGCTAGCAGTTCATGTCCCCATGAACCCAGAAGAAATTGTCCCAGAAGGGGCCTTTGCAGGGGTTCCACGCCTGAGACACGTCAGTGTAGAGTCAGGCATCAGGCTCATTGGAGCAGAGGCTTGGCAAAACTGCCGACAGCTCCGCATAGTCAAACTGCCGGCCACGGTTGTAGGCATTTCCGATCACGTCTTCCGTGACTGCAAACTACTAAACAGCGTCTTGGCTCCGGGTTGTCGAGATTTTGGGTATAAAGCCTTTGCGGAATGTTGTTCCTTGCAATGGGTGTATGCATCGGAAGGGGTTGCAAATATGTTCAATAGCGAAGCCAAGTTTGGGCAATACCTCTTTCAAGGGTGTATTAACCTTGCTGAGTTTACCTTAAGTGAGCTTCCATCCCCCCGAGGGTCAGCACTGCAAGCTAGGACCGGTGAGTTATCACCGGGCTGTCTTAGCTCTACGGGAATCACCGCACTTGCTCTCACAAAGCATTTTGTAGCTATCGGAGCGCATGCATGCGACAGTTGCCGACTGCTTAAGAGTGTAGACCTTTGCAACACCAAAGTTGAGGAAATTCCGGAATTCGCCTTTGTGCACTGCGCTAGTCTCAGAGAAGTCCTCCTTCCGACAACTCTCCATACAATCCGAGTCAAAGCCTTCATGAACTGTGCAGCCCTAGTTGAGCTTGCCATCCCGCCCTCACTGAGGTACATTGGAAGTAGGGCCTTCCTAGATTGCACTGTCTTTAGTAGGCTTGCCAAGATGCCAGGAAGGCATAAATGGCGAGGAGTCTATGCTGAAGAGAATGCTTTCGCCATTTGTCCTGCTATGCGATGGCCACCCTGGCTGCATATGATCCCGGACATGGGGTATACCCCTGGTCTTGGATGAAAACAAGCCTTTCTGGCCGCAGCAAGCGCGGTCTCGCAGTTACTCGTTAAGAGTCTGGGCACGCGCCTTAGCGTGAGTCCAGGGTAGGCCAGAAGTCACACCAGGACAAACTCCATAGGGGAGCTGAGAAACATCGCAATTGTACCCTTCCATAGGAGGTTCCACCCATGTGCATGTGGCGATATGCCCGCACTTTGGAGCTAGGGGCAAGCAAAGGAAAAAACTGCACATCGCAAAGGACATGTGTCCCTGAATAAACTGGATAACCTGTCTAGTCCAGGCAGCGCTGAGAGCTGTCGACACATGCCAGTGATCACAGGGAAGAAAATTGTTCAGACCTGCAAGAACCAGCAATTTCCTTGCAGCTGGAATGGGGGACAAGCAAACCGACAGCGGATTACGGCAAGTAAGATGCGCAAGCGCTAAGTAGGATCACCGACCTCTTCTCGCCATTCGCAACGCTGTGAGCCAATAGGAATGAGAGCCTCAGCTCCTCGTTCCTAACAGGCGGGTGGTAGAGAGTGGCAATGGAGGATGCCCAGGGGGAACCTTAGTTCCCTTTGTTGATGTCCGACATTTCCAATTTTGCACAAAGAGGTACAGATACCATGCTAGGATTGTCCAAAGTTTCACCTGTTTCACACGGGCCTTGCACGCAGCCGATCACCTTTTGCAATGGTGCAGCACTTCACGGATCTAGAAGACACCCCTTTTTGTTTGTTGTTTGGCACCTTTGAGTGCCAAAGGGTGCTGAGTTGACCTCCCTTCGGGGGGGTGTGCCCTTTCGCACCCTTACCTGCAGGCTTTCGTCGTTTGCTATGGCCGCCACTGATTGATCGCCGCTTGGTAACATGCCACTGGACTTGTAAGTGCAACCAGTTGTACGGGTTGTGCCACAAGAAAGGTCTTTTCCACGGCGTGCTGCATAGCTACGCTACTCCATTTGACATGGACGCAACCGACGTTGGAGCGTTGCGATACTCCTGACCTGCATCGTGACCATGATTTTGCCGCACCGTGGTGTGGCCGCTGGTCACTAGCAATCGTGAAGTAAAGTCCCTTTGAAGCCTTTTTTGTGACTTTGCTAGAGCACAGACCTGCGCCGACATGCTTTCCGTTCGTGAATTCAGGCTCATTTCTAGTCACTAGTTTTCGTTTCACCCGTTTCACCTAGCACAGAGGAAAGACTACATGATGGTGGAGACTCGGCCTGTGGGCTTTGGGTTGTTTGGTTTGGGTTGTGTTGGGTGTCCTTGTTCTTTTCTCCACCATCAGCCTGTTCTTCCCTTCCTTCAACGATGACCTGGGTACCATGCCCACACGGCGTCCGTACTCGTGGGTATCGGCAGACCACCTGCTGCAAATGGCAGCAATGCCCCTTGAGCACAAGCCCACTGCGCTGGGTATTCCGATGCGATCCCGGTCTCCTATCAGTTCGAAAAGGCCGTGACCACACAGACATGCTCGACCCCAGTCTTGAGCATAGTCTTGCACGTGCCAAATGCCTCCTGGTCGGCCTTCGTCTTCCTGAACTGCATCGTCACCTCCTGCGGGTTCTCCTCATCCCCTTGGCCTCGAGTGGTCAGCGAGACATCTTGTCCACGGAGGATCATTTCCTGGTCCACCCCACTGGAGTCCGCGAATTCACGAGCTCGGAGCATGAAGAACCAGCCCGTCACCATGGCGGCGTGCACCATCCTGCAGTCTACCTCGAGCTCGCCGAAGGACTCTGCTCCCGTGGCCATTCGCTTCCCGATCCACTTGAGCATCTGCACTGTAACTCCCAGGCGTCTTGGCCTCTTCACGGAGTTCTTCTCCAAGGAGTTTAGGACGATCCAAAGGCGGTGCATCTTGGTGGTGGTGGTGTCGCCATGGCCTGCCCGCTTGTGCGCGTCCTTGATCGCAAACACCGCCTGCTTCATCGTGGCGACCGAAGTTCCCAGCCAACCCAGGTACCCGAGGTAGCCCAGCACCTTATTCTCGTTGAGGATCGGGCACCCTTGTGGTCGAGGTAGGGCGTCATCCATCCCTGTCGGCGACTCCAGTCACACCACTTCTGCCAGGCCGCTTGGTAGGCTCGCTGGGTGCTGGCTGCCTTGTCCCCCACCAGGTGAGCCTCCAACCATTCTTCCACCTGCGCTTGAATCTCCATGTCCGGGTTGAAGTCGGGGTTCAAGTCAACGAACTTGGCGCCGTCCTCTTCCACGACCTTCACCTCCTTCTTTTTGCGTCCTCCACAGCGCCTCTGCTCGACGCCCTCGAACTTTCCCGGGCCTCTCTCTTCAAGCCCCAGGGCTTCCAACCATAGCTCCTCGCCCCAGAACCACACGGTCGACGTCTGGTCTTCAAAGCCTCCGGCCTTCCGTTGAGGTTCGGTCCGTCGAAAATCTCCTCTCCTCCATCTCCGCAACCACCGTAGCAAGGCGCCCAAAGACTTGTAGTCCTCATAGTCGGCGCACATCCCTGCCTTTCCCTCGTGACCCTCCTTCGCGAGCTCTGCGGCGACCCCGATCAGGCTCAGAGCTGTTCTTCTCCGCATGGTCCAGCAGAGGCCACCGACACGGTCCGCTCATAGAGTACACGTGTTGTCTCTCGCCTCCTTCCGTGACCCAGGCATGTGCCGCCACCACCGGGAGCATCACCTCCTGGCCCACATTGATCGCTGTCTCGAACTTGTGGACGCCCACGCAGTTGCCCTCCCGCACCTTCTGCAAGTAGGTACCCATCGCTGGCGGTGTCACAGCCTTCACCATCAGGAACTCCACCGCCTCTGCTGTTTTGCTCACCGGGCAGATGAAACCAGCTACCCTCCGTCGCACCATGGCCTCACCTAGCTCGGACGTCAGGAACGCCTGCAAGATGCAGGTCCACCCAATGGCCTCCGCCCATCGCTCCATGTCAGACCACTTCACCTCGCCAGGGCCTTCGAGGACCGCCACATCGAATGTCTCACCGTCGAGGAACTGGAGGAACTCCTTGACCTTCCTGCGCTTCGGGTCCGGTCCGATGGTGCCCGCCACGATCTTGTACTCCGGGCTGCCTTCATCGCTCGAGAAGTACTGCCAGTCTCTGACATGACGACGGCCCGGTGTCCATTCAACCACCTCGACCTTGGACAGGTCCGCCGGCTGCCGGAAGATCGCCCTGAAGACCCTGAGTTCCCTCAACCGCATCAGCTCCCAACGATCCTCCTGATCAGCCCAGGACAGGAAACACAAGCCAAACCGCTCGGTGTCCTCAAGGGCCTGCTGGATACTCAGCTTGATCTCCTGACGTCTCCAACCCTTCTTCTCCATGAGCTCGACTGCCTCCTTCTCCTCCAAGCGGGTGAGGGCGTCCGCATCCTCATTGTGGAAAGTGCGCCACCAGCCGCCCAGGATCCTGCACCTGTGCCTCTTCTCGACCAGGTTCAGGACTCGTATGACCACTCCTCCTGCTTGTGATCCAGAAGTAAACGACCTTGTTGTCCCCGGCGTACACCACCACACGGCCTTCCCACTGGTGACCCACTTTGCAGGCAAAGGCGACAAAGCTGAGCATCTCCCCAAGATGGATAGCCAACTTCTGGTCTCCTTGGCCCTCGGCTTCAATCACTTGTTTGACCCAGGGTTTCAACGTCTCGACCTCCTCCCTACAAGCAAGCCCATTTGTCCAGTCGATAGCTGCGACCACATCAGGCGTTGCGTCCGATGATACGAAAACTGGTCCTCCCCCTTGCTGACCTGGGAGCGCTAGCCGCTCAAGAGGAGGCAGTAGCTCCCTGATGTCGCCCCCGAACTTCTCGGCCCAAGTCTCAGATCGGGAGCAAAGCCATCGGCAGTCCTCGAAGAGCTCCCATAGTGCTTCCCAGGCCTGCAGCTCCTCTTGGTTGGCGGCCTCCGACCCATCCTCCCGCACCAAGCGCGGGCGAACTGCTGCCCTGCCATCCATCCCACCAAGGAACACATCTGCACTCTTGAGCTCATTCTTCAGTCCTGCCACGACCGTGCTCCAACCTGTTGCAATCCCCCGGAACCTCTGCAGCTCCTTCAGCGGGAGGTCCTTGTGCCCATAGTTGAAACATGGTTGAGCCAGGAGGTAGGCACCCTTGAGGATCCTAGCTTCTGGCAACGACATCCTCTCAGTCTCCGCATTGATGGTGAGGCCCCAAACGGTCTGCTGCCGGCTGAAGCACCCTTCCTCCGCGTCCTTGAGCTTGTTGATGGCCTTCTCCCCCAGCAGCTGTGTCACCGCCCATTCATAGGCTTCACTCGAAACCCAAGGTCTGGGGCCTATCACGGGTTCCACCAGGACCATATCGTCGACCAGGATCTTGCCGCAGAAGTGCACCTCCCCATCGCGCCGACTCTCCAAAGGCTTCAGGCCGCGGTGTACCTCCTCCGTCGCTCTGCCCCAGACGGTCCACTCCCCAGGGGACCCGGAAAACCCAAAGCTCGAGACCAGGTAGATCACCGTCAGGTTGGAGTCAAGCCCGGTCCTCCCAGATGCATCGCTCGGCCCAATCAAGTCCGGTTTCCGTGGCACATCCCCAGCAAACAGTTCCGTGTCTCTCGGGTCGACCCACAACAGACGAAAAGCCCCCGCCACATCCTTCTTTGCCATAACCACTGGCACCCCTGGGTACCGGGCTTTCAACCACAGGATGCGTCTGACCACCTGCTCATGCGTCGGCTGGCCCGCTGGTGGGTGGAGGTCTTTGTGCGTTCCCCCGTTGACCTGGCGCTGGTCATGCACCAGTCTCGCCTCTGTCGACAAGGTCCGGTTCGGCAGCATCTTGGGGACGAGCTCAAAAGGCGAGGAGACTGTGTGTTCCAAAGCCGGATGCTCCGATGAGGCCACCAGCACTCGGTGCTTCAAGATGTCCTTCATCAACTGAGCATAGACCTGTCCCAAGTCTGCCCTGGCTCTCGGATGCGGCTTTGTAGCCACCCTCTCTCTTTGGCCTTGGAATCTTGCGGGCATGCCTTGGGCCCGTACTTCCCGTAGATATGCCAGGTGATCCGGATGTAGGAGGTCATCGAACTGCTGGCTATCGACGCCCTGCAGGTTGTTCCTCCCAAGGTGCTCCCGTGCAATCCACAAAGCCAAAGCCGCCTTCTCCACCGAGCCCGCCGCACTGAGGAGCAAATCCCCCCTTTCCCGGATTGAATCCCAGGCTCCAGGTCCCGTGTCACCTTCTCTCGCCTTGTCGATCTCCTGGATGTAGCCCAGAGCCGCGGTAGCCGCCTTCCCGGAAATGCCCTCCGCCTCGAAGTCGACCCATCTGCTGCCCCCAGTGTGAGTCCCCCTCCAAGACCACGAAGACCACCCTTGCCACTCACCATCGGCATTGAGCCCTTGCCAACCCGTGCCAGGTCCCCCCCGACCATCTCGCACCACTACCTGGTCCACCACCAGCGTCCCCATCGGGATGGTCCTCATCGTCACCTTGGTCGTCCTCCGCTGGGATGTGCGCCCAAGGCACCTGACCGTCCGAGAACACGAAGAGGGTAGTTCCCGTCCACGGAACAAAGGGTGGCTGGCTCCTCCCTTGGGTCCTCCAATCGTCGTAGACCTCGGCAACCTCCAAGCGGCCCCGGGCATCCCTCCGTTCACACCGGGTGTACCTTTCACTGTGAAACCGGCTAGGACCATAAGGGTACGGGAGCTCATCAGGGACTGCCAAGTCATACCGCGGCTCGTTGGTGTGAAGCCAAACGTAGCCCCGCTCTGCGTCGACATCGATTCTGTTCCTTAAGCCCAGGTTCTGCCACACGATTCGTGTCCTCCCTTCCTCTGGTCGGGCTCCTGCCATCCCGGTGTCCTCCTGGGTCTCCCCCGTGCCCTCGCCCTCGAGCTCCTCCGCCTCCTCGTAGGTCTCCTCATTCTCGGGCGGAGCCTGATGGTGGTAGGTCTCCTCGCTCTCAGGTTGGGTTTGATGGTGGATCTCGACCCCATTCCAGACACCCATCTCCGCCTCAATGGCCATCTCCGCGACCTGCTGCATCTGCTCTTCATCCAGGCCCTCCAAACCTTGGTCGCCCTCGGGTTCCTCGTCATAGCCGTAGAGTTGGCGACCACCGGTCTTGGACAAGGGAGGCTGTGGTTTTGACCCCCCCCCACCAACGTATGGACTAATGTCTCCACAACCGAGCGGACGAAGTTAGCGGCATAGACCCCAGCCTCAGTGCACCTGGAGACGCTGGTCCCTGGTCTGTTGCCCTTCAAGGCGATGTGCTGGTGGGTGTCGGACAACCCCGGGCAGAGGCGAAGAAGTGCCTGTCGAAGTGGTGGGTGATGAGGGAAAGCAAGTCCCGTCCTGTGGCGGTAGTACTGGCCAGTAGTATCTGGAGGTCCCAAGCCAAAGGCGCACATGTCCACTTCGATGAAGTCCACGTCCGGCCGTTGTAACAACCATCGCCATTGCGGCAGGTGCCACTGCTTCGGGTACCGGCCAGAAGTGCCGGAGCTCTCTGCGATCGGGAAGCCGCCCTGCGCCAACGATGCCTCAAACAGCGCTGCCCCGTACTCTGACAGGGTGTTGCCAACGTGTTCCTTGGCTGTCGGGAGACCGGCTGGGTTTTGGAAAGTCCTGGTCCCGCCATTCTGTAAGCACCAGTCACAGAACGTAGTGCAGGGGCTGGCGATCCATTGGACATTCGAGGTTCGCTCTGTGAGCCGCTCCATGTAGTACCCTTGCCGAACTGGATCTGCAAGATCATGTTCCGGACGGGGACCCAGCTGTTGATGAGGCTTTTCATACAACTCGATCGGCTCCAAGGCCGTCTGATTTGCTGCCCGCCACCCTTGAGTGATCACCCCGTGCCCCGCGAAGTACTCCTGCAAGACCAAACCAGGGTGCCCTTTGGCCTCGTGCACGGCTCTGGTCATCTGACCGCCTCCAGCCAAGACCTGGGACAACGCGGGTAAACAGGTAGTTTTTCTCAAACAGCCCAATGCCGGTTGCTCTTCCTGTCCTCCTCCCTTTCGGGGTTTGCAGTGCCTGCAGCACACGAGCCCTGGTGCAGTTTTTGCCTGATCGTGCCGTTGGTGCCAAAAGTATCGAAACCCCAAACAAGGTGTGTTGTACACGTCCTCGTTGGTCAGCAACTGGCGAGCGACGTCCTCCGCCGGGGGCTGTAGCAGCGTCATGTGGCCCTTCGAAATCATCACCCACATGTCCCGCTGCGTCCATTGGCTTCCAGTCACCGTCTCCAACAACACGTCGCCCTTGTAGTCGACCCGCACGACGACGATGCGCATCTCCTCCAAAGCTGCCAAGGGGAACACGGCCAGAGCTCGGTAGTCCTTGTCATGGTGTGGTGTGAGGATGTCATGGGCATACATTCTGAGTTCATGTTCCACGGGTGCCACCCTCGTCTCCGCGTGGCCCATCACCCCTTCGGCTTCCACCGCCAGTCTGGCCTGTTCCAGCCTGAAGTCCTGCGCCAACTTCTCCACCTCTTCCATTGTTGGAGCTTTGCCCTCCTGGGTGATGAGCAAACCCGCTGCGAAGACCTTAGTCACGCACTGCCGCTTCTCCTTCTCCGGCTCGATGAGGCCCAGAAGCCCGGCAAGCTCCTCCGTCATGTGCACTACCTCGCCGTAGTCCCACATAGCCCAGGATGCCTCATCAATCTGCACCAGTGCCTTCCCAGGTCCATCGTCGTCCCAACGTGTCTCTCCCACTCGACACCGAGCTTGATGTCCTGCCTTGGGTCCGCCACCATGGGTTTCGAGAAGGTCTGCTGCCTCTGCTGCCAGTTCGCCCAGACCATACTGCACCATCTCCTCCATCAACGCCTCGAAGCCTACCTCCGGGTCATTGGCGACTCTTGTGGCGGCCCAGGCATACAAATCATCCGAGGCCTCTTGCAACTTTCCCAACACGGGACCATCAGCCAATGCCTGCGCCTTCCTCACCATCTCCTGCGCCTCGAAGGGGGCCGACGTGCCATCACGCCCCGCGTGGGGCTTCGCTTCCCTCGGGACGTGGTCGAAGATGGAGTGATCTGGACCCGACACCAGCTCGGCGAAGTCTTTCTCCTGGCTGGTGTAGTCGACCTGAACCATCTCCTCTGGCGCCTTCCAACTCACCCGGCCTCCCGCCTTTTCATGGACCTCTGGCTCCCCGGCACTCAGGTTTTCACCTTGTCCAGCTCTTCGACGATCCTTTCCATCCTGCACCTTTGCAGCTTTGTCCTTTGCCACCCCCGCCCTGATGTCCTTCATCTTTTCCGCCGCCGACTCCTTTGTCTCCGCCTTCATCCTTCGGAGCCCCCCTCGACGAAGAAGTTGCAACTGGACGGCAGGGTCTGCAGAGCTTCGAAAGGTCCTTTGAGTGCCTCGTGAGCCCGTTGACACCCCGTCTGGGTGCAGCCCACGTGGGTCAAATACCCCCAGCACAGGAGTTTGCCCTCCTTGTTGGTGCTCGGTCCCTCGACCTAGCCGTCTCCTCTGCAGTGAGCTTGGGCCCATGGAGCGTCTTTAAGGTGACCTTGTCCTCCCTCGGCCCACCATCACCCCCAGCAGGTTGCCCTTGTGCACGGCTCTTGCCGGAACCTTCCCACGTCATTTTCCACAGCATTCTCTCCTGGCGCCTCTCGATCTCAGACATGAACCAACCCTCTGGTCGACGAAGGTCAAAGGTCTGTGGGAGCTCCAAAGGCGGCTTGCCGTCTTCATCAGGCATCAGGGCATAGAACTTCAGGTCCTGTAAGGTCATGGATTCTCTCCCGGCTTGCCTCTTGAATGTCCTCCTCGTTCAACTGCAGCTCCTTCCCATCGGCCAGCTGCTCCATGAACTCCTCCAGGTAGGTCATCTCTCCTCTCCGGTCCGGGGAGTTGATCATGCCCATCCTCGCAAGGCTGTGCTGCACTGACGACTTCGGAGTGTGGCCTGGGGACGCCACTCTCCTTCTCCTTGAAGGGGGCAGCGTTTCCTCCTTCTCGTCCCTGACTTCCCGCAAGATGGTCTCTGCCTCCCCTGTGTCATAGGAAACCTCCCGGACCCGTCCTCGCCGCCGTAGGCGATCTTCTCCATCTCTTTCCGCTCGATCTTCTCCTTCTTCTTCTTCCGGAGGTGGATCCCTTGCCCTCGACCTCGAACGAGAGGAGCGCCTCGATGGTGTCGGGTTGCTCGCCTCTTCATGAGTTCCACACACTCGCAACCCATGCTTGGAGAGGTTCCCTACCCGGTTACATCCCCCGTAGGAGCAACGCAGTGACGTTCGAGAGGTGAGGTAGCTGACGGCGTGCTTGGGGCAGAGCTTGAAGTCCTGGTCCCCGCTCAGCCCGGCCCGGTCCTCCTCCAGGTACTCGACCTCGTTGCTGGCAGGTTCCTGACATGGGTTCTCACTCAAACATCCCCGTC